CTTTTCCATTTTCTTCGTTCTGTCTGTGGTCTTTCTAGTCTCTTTGTGACATTAGGTATGACCTCTTACTTTGACTTGGATACAGTGGACTATTTGGGAGATGAGACCAGCTGCAAATGAATAAGGGTGCTAAAGTGGCCTAGGTTCCCACTCCCCACCCCTTTCTACCCAGATACACTGCTCCTCAGTATCCCATGTGCAGCTGACAATTTATTATTCAGTGGACTTTAAAGGCCGGATCTCTGATACTAATCCTTCTACTGCCAACAAACGCTGATCATTTCCCTGATAAAACATCCACTGCCAACGGATACAGCCTTCGGTGGCATTTCAAAGGTTAATTGAGCTAGTTTCTATGATGAATATGACTTGGACCGAGCATTGGAAGTATCATTGCAAAAAATCGTGAAATCTGAGCATGTGGAACTATATGTATTTTTTTATGGTTATATTTACCATAACACATTACAGTACCAGAACCTTTTCTACATAGCAAAAAGAAAAGAACACTGTAACAATGAACCCCAACCCCAAAAAACCTCTACAATTATCAAGATGTAAAATTAAACTTTTCATTGGCACCCAGTGTGTTCGGCTGAGAACTGTAATAAAACGTACAGATGTAAGCTGGACTCTTTATTCGATTCATGAGGGATGGTTTGAAGGAGTTAATCGAAACTGTCTGTATCAGTGACGACTTGGCACTGCATATATTAGTATACTTACTGTCTCAGAAACCTCAGCCAGCCTAAAGACTGAGATGGGTCTCCCAGGAAACATAGTGCACAAATATCTTCAGTGCCAAGTTTAACAATCTCTAAGGGATAGTCATCCTTCGGCATTCCAGATATTGTGGACTACATCTCCCCTGATGCTTTGCCATCATTTTGCCTGTAAGAGTATTATGGGAAATGTAGTCTCCACAACATCAGGAGTGCCAAGATGGCCCACCCCTGCAGCCTAGTCTATCACCATGGTGGACAACCTGTGAACATCCAAAAGTTACAACTTATCACCTTGGTGGTGGTTCTGCTTCTTGGTTAATTCAAGGAGTATGTGTTTATTAAAGACAAGTTGCAGAATGATCACTGTGACAAGAATTTGTTTACAAATCATACATTTTCTTTAAAGAGATCAACTAAACTTATTAAGAAGAGACTTGTGACGCTTTCATTCACTGCTGACTTGATAATTTTTGACCAAAATAGTAAAATTGGGAAGAAAAAAAAAATCTTCTAATTTGACTAATATCTCTATACAACTTGCAAGAGTGCAACCAATTCAACTTAAATCACTGCTTAGTGTATAGACTAATTTTGTAAACATTAGCATGGGTTAGTAGACATACATTTTTGTGTTTTAGATCCATTCGAAAGGGTAACAGATGTGCCTTGGTCAAATATAGAATTAATAAAATATTGCATTTAGCACTTCCTACTCCGTCAGATGTAGTTATTAACAAATGCACATGGCAATAATGTTAAAATCTGTTTGGTTTTTTAAGTAGACATTGTTAAGACACCTCCAGTGTCTTTAGGCAAAACCGCCGTTTAGTAGACCTTCCCCGTCTGCAATATCAGTAACTCCGTTCGCCTAACCTGTAGTGCACGAACCAAATGCAGGGGAAGCGGCAATCTCCCGACCGGGATCCGTGAACGGCTCCAAACTCCCGAACGGCAATACACGAACTGCTGCTAGCCGCCGAACAATAACATCCACCAAGCGGCTTTCGTTTCCATCCAGCAGTCTCTAAACGTGAAGAAGAAATCCCCCCAATAACGAGACAGAAGCTCCGCATTGAGGGTCAAACAGGATCTGGCTTTACTGTGGGCTACCTGCCCATATTTATGAAGGTCTCCCACTTGGTGGACACTTCCCTA